TCTTGTACTTCCGCTTGATGTAAGTTTTGTCTAGTTTATTATGGAGCAAGCTTTAATTATTTTAACCCAATATTTTTAAGTTATCCCTTTTTATTCAACAAAAAAACGTGAACGCTTAAAAACACACGTCTTAAATTTTCTATTTTTCTGCAGGAAATTGGGCAATTGTTTATACGTCCTTTTTTTGTACAACTTGACGGCTACTATCAACCTTTAAAATATTTCCCTCTACTTACGGGACACTCTCTCTCTCTCTCTCTCTCTCTCTCTCTCTCTCTATATATATATATATATATATATATATATATATATATATATATATATATATATATATATATATATATATATAATGTCCCGTTTATAGGCCTTGAAGCAGCTGCAAGACCACTTGGTCTAGAAGTCAACGAGAGGAAAACTAAGTATATGAGAGTTGGTGGTGAGGTGGATCTGACTCTCCATTTGAGGTAGGTTCAAGTTTTATATACCTTGGGTCTGAAATTAATAGAAAAAATGACATGGCTCAAGAAATACAAAGAAGGATCACGGCTGCCAATAGATGTGTCTTTGGACTTGGCCGACACTTAAGAAGTAGGTACCTCTCAAAGAAGACCAAGCTGATCATATACAAGACCCTTTTTCGACCTGTTTTGACATATGGCTCAGAGGCGACTAAAAACGAATGGCTTGGACGATGACTAAAAACGATGAGATGAAGCTGAGTGTGTTTGAGCGAGGAGTCCTCAGAAGGATTTATGGCCCAGTAAAGGAGGGTGATGTCTGGAGGAAAAGAAAAAATAGGGAGCTCAGTTCTCTCTATACAGACATCGACGTAGTCACGTATATTAAACTGGCCAGACTAAGGTGGGCAGGGCATGTGGCCAGAATGAGCACCGTTGAAATACCAAAGAAAATAATGATGGAGGAGCTGCACCTCGTAAGACGGGTAGGAAGGCCGAGGACGAGATGGTTGGACAACGTGGCCTATGATGCGAGAACTCTGCTTGGTGTACGGAACTGGAGAGCTGCAGCAGAAGACAGAGCCAACTGGCGGAGGCTCTTGGAGGAGGCCCAGTCTCGGTAACGGGATGTCGTGCCACATATGATGATGATGATAATATATATATATATATATATATACACATACATGAAAGGATAATTACCTTGAAAGAAAATACTTATATGAAGTGGTGTTTAAGTAATTCTTGAAATCCTATTAAATGTAATTACACGAACAATAATACTTTTAGAGATAATATTTTTCATAGGACATAGTTATCTTTTGCCATTTTGGGAGGGCTTCATCCCGAAAGCCTCCCTTCCTCATAGATTCGTCTGTGATGTAAGGAATAAATTATTTCCTTTTCTACTGTATGATATTCAATAATTGTTACATTGTTACATTGTTATTTTTAATTTAATTTTTATAAACTTTACTTATCAAAATATGAATGTTGATAAATTTTATAAATCTACTAATTTTCAAAAATAAACGTATAATGTAATTGAAATTATTATTGAAGGTACATTGACAAAATAAGGATTTTATTATTTTAAAATATGAGGATTTTTTTTTAACCATATATTTTAACTAAATACATGTAGCTATCGGTAACTCAAAATTTATATTATATTTATCTGAAATTTAATTATGAATTATTTTCATATAAAAATTAATTAATCAGAAATGAAGGAGAATGATGCAATATTGAATTCTTCGCGTTGTGTTCCAGAGACACGAAATGGCAATAGGTTTTTTAAGATTACCTTCCTGGTAGTAGATCGATACAGTAGTATAATTTATTTCACGCCTATTGGTTTAGTCTAATTTAATTAATAATTTTCAAAATGAATTTAAATCCATGAGAATATTTTTTATATTTACTTATGGATTACCATTTAAACACATAGGAATCGCGCTTTAAATGAAGAATCGAGTGCTAATCTAAATGCATGTTATCAAAATTTAATAAACTAATATTACCAAACGTCTATACTCAGTAAAATAAACAACACAATAACTTATTTCTTATTATTATTAAACATAAGTTATTTCAACTATTACAAATATACAATATACAAGTATATGTTGTTTGTACTTAATAAATAAATTATATAATAAATAAATTTCAATTATTAAAACTAATTTAATTTAATAAATGTTGGAGGTTAGTTCCCTTTTAACTTGACTTAATCTTCGCAATAATTTCTAACCAGAGGATATCACGAAAAAAAATTCTTTTGACTAGTTCATAACTTCTGTGGATGTAAATTAATAACACGAAATTTAGTAATTGTTCATACAAAAATTAATTATTACTAAATAATAAGTTAGTTTAGCACAAAACATTTTTTTTTTTATTGCATCTTATCAAAGCGCAAAATAATTCTTAGAAGTTTTTATTATTTTATCACTGATTGTATTTTTAGTGTATATTATCTACTACATTAAAAAATTTGCGTTTTTCAGGATTGGACTAATAGTTATCTATGCCCCTGAAATATAATCAAAATGTATCAGTAGTTGAAACGTTTTAACAAAATGGTAACAACGATTAAAACGAGAAAACATTATTAAAATATTGTTAAGTGATGCACAATTTTAGAAAAACTTATATTGACCATAATCTTTCAAATAGTTCAACAAAGTTAATTAGTTAGTTTTTATTTGGACATAGTTCGAATTTAAAAATCTATTCGGAATTAAAAATAATTATAATTCAAAATTAATTAATTTTAGTTCTAATTAAAAATAATTAATTAATTAATTTGTATTGGATTTGGATAAAATATTTTTTATTGATAACTTTCCTGCTAATATTTGAATAAAAAGCCAGTGTATTCTATATTTATTAGCGTTGCCTCAGTTGTTAGTATTATATTTATTAGCGTTGCCTCAGTTGTTAGTATTATATTTATTTTTTAATTTGTCGTATTTTCATATGAATTTTAATGCTTTTATTTTTCTTTAAGATTAGATTTCTTTCATTCCTCTCATAACAAATACCCTACTTTTAAAGGTGCTTTTAGACATTTAACAAACTAGGTGACAGACAAATATATAAATGGTTATATCACTATGCTAGTATTTTTGTTTCTTGTTGATATTTTCCATCTACTGTCGGTATCAAGAGAAATAAAGAGGTATCAAGAGTTTGGGTTTAAATAATTATTTAATATATTTTTTAAAAATATTTGTATACATTCTTAATAATAAATATTTTTAAAATGTCGGTGTTAATTAAGCTAGATGATTGTGTTTTTCATAATTTGTGAAATTTTGAAAAAAAAATAGATATGATAAGAGAAGAGTAGAATATTTTTAATATAAAGAAGAAATATAATTTAAAATTAAGTTAAAATGGTAAAATTTTAGAAGATATTATATTTTTTCATTATTCAGCATTACATTCCGTCCGAATGATCCTCTGAAACAATTCTGGAGACGGTCTAAAAAATCAGAACTGACCCCATTTCCAGACTTAAAGCGAGCTGTCACCTTATCAGATAAGTGCTGTATTCAAAGCGCTGAGTTGACTCAGTAGAAAGATGGCCAACCACGGAAGTTGAGGGAGGGAACTGCTGGCCTTGATTGTCAAACCTCGTCGTCTCGTCCTACCCTTTTATTTATCTCAAAATATTTATTTATCTTCCTCTTTTATCTCTACAACACCAGTCTAGAGTTCTAGGCTAGCAAAAGTAAGTAACTTTATACCAATTATCCAATGATATAATGTTTGAGTTGTGTGTTAGTTTCATCATAGTCTGGTGTGATTTCGAATTATTGTAAAAACTCACTTTTTAAATCCTTTTATTCACTAAGAATCGATCACCAAATTTTTAAGTCCTTGGGTACTTAAATACTTCAATACCTGGCTCCAACTCTCTACTAACCTAACCTTAACCCAGGAGTCAAAACAAGGTTTTATCATGTCCTATAAAAATATGAATATTTTCTTGATATTTTTTTCTCTTGGAGAATTTGTCTCCACTATGATCTTATTTTATAAAGTGTACATTCTGAATAATGTGATATGCATTGATAGTTGTGTTCTGAATAGACTTATTTGATATGAATCAATTATTTACATAGAAACTTCAGTGCATTCGAACAGGTGGTAAATAACTATTTGTAATTTTTATTTTTCAATTCCTTTTTTTTTTTTTTTTTTTTTTATTCTTCCTACAAATTTAGACAGTATGTGTCATTCATTGGAAAACTGTTATTTGGCATTGAATAGACTGAATACTTAATTTTTAGGTTAATGTATGTAAGTTTTAATTGTTTTTAAAGATAAAATAAATTCTTGTTTGTGTCCTCTTTTAACTGTTGTTACACATTTAGATTTCTTAACTCTGTTGTAACAATTAATCAACAGATTATTTTTATGTTTTTACATACATTGGCGTTAAAAGGTGAAAAGAACAATATGAGAATTTGATTTTGATAGAATGTGGTTTAAATAAATATTTTGTTTACATTTGGGTATAATGATATAAGTCTAACAAAGCAGGAACCACCTGTAATTTGTATTTACAAATATCATTTCGCCTCATTTATGTCCAATTCAGTTTCTCATTAGTGAAAATTTCTATAATGTTGTTTACTTTCCCTGACCAATATTCCGAATTTTTTTTTTTTTTTTAATGATCATATTTTTAAAACTCTATTAACAGTTTCTTAAGTATTTTGAAATATAGTCGTACCATTTTATTTAGGATTAGTCAGTTTGTCAAAATGCTGAATAAAAATTATTTATTTTATAATGATTTAGAGATGGTTGACCGTTGATATAATATGAGAAGGAGTTAGTCAGGAGTGTGGTCAGATAAATACTAAATTAAAATACAGTAATTATTTTATTTTAATTTTGCCGACGTTTCGACCCACTTTGAATTACAACTACAACATCGAGTTTTGTGAATTTAAATATTTTATAATATTTGCTACTTAATTGATTATTTTTAAGAATTTATTTTGTTCTTTTTCAGATGGGAACAACATGGGATATGATACTGGCATGGTTAAAACCAACATATTTCAACAATCAGTTACACTGACAGCAAAGATGTGGCCGCCTCAGGTAATTTATTTCTGCTTTTATATTTAATTTTGTTTGTATATCACTGTGAGGAATAATATCCTCTCTGATTCCACTGGACCTGTTCTTCTCTTCTGTTTCCATTAATAATATTTTGAAAATTGCCAAGCATAAATTTTTTGCCAAATCTCCATAATCATTTCTTCTCATATCTGTATTACCAATACTGTTTAGTACAGTGTCAATATTAATAATGTAACACCTCACTCACCACAATGGTTATGGTTGATATTTAAGCGATTATCTTAAAACGTTTGAGTAACAGTTTCTTCCTTTCATCCATTTACAATAAATTTCATATTATAACTATTTTATTACAATATATGATAAGAGGAATTTTATAAACATAATTTTTAAAAATACTTCTGTTCTAAAGATAAGGAAGCAACATCAATGAAATATAATTTTTTTTTTTTTCCAACAAAAATAATTTCAATTATTGTGTAATAATAAAAAATATTTTACCCTCGAAATCAGTTTTTATTAATGCTAATAATTTTTTAGGATAAAAACAGCACCGGGAAGGGGGAGCGATGGAACTGGTCTACTTGGCGGGTTCCAAGTGACCAATTACCCGTCGTAATAGCAGCTTTCACAGGAGGGCTGCTTATCATCATTCTAGTCCTCGCTGCTTTTCTATGGAGGTTTTGTGTTGCTCCACACAGGAACAAGGATTACCGTACGTATATCACCTACAACCCTTTTTTTTCCTCCATTATATTAAATTTTTGTGGTACATTATAGTAACAATGTTTCTCACTCTGATTTTACTGAAGATTCTTTAATATTAGAACATAACGACAGCTACATTGCAAAAGCCTTTAAGGACAATTTAAATGAAAAATGAGGTTTTGGGCTTTTCTGATCAATCTTAACCTGGCGCATATTCTGATCCCACAAAATGAAATCTACGATGTTTCATTTCTTCTCTATGGCCTTTTGTAAAAACCTGTAATTTAAAAATCAGCAAATTGTGATATGTAAAATGTAAGTTACATTGAAGGTTACAGAGATTGTGTTGTTACTGAAAAAACGTAATGAAAGGTGTGGATCTAAATACAGTATGTATAAAGTGATTTTGCGCATAGACTACAGTATCAATTAGCTTTATTAATAGGCTGAAATTAATTTTTCTCTTACGCTTTGTATTCTTTTTTTAAAAATTCTTATAAGTTGCGGGCTCTTCCAGCCCTGCGTCTCTGGGTAAATGTCTGGGTTCCTTTGCTCTGAAGCCGGCACTGCTTACTATGGAACTAGACGAAGCAAAGAAGAGAGTGGTAAGTGGGAATAAGATATCAAATAATTTCAAAACCTCCTGGACACTGCAAAATGAGCTTGACTGGAAAAATGCTACGATGCCACCGAATTCCAGATAGTGAGAGACAGATAATTAATTTCATCAAATGGAAAATTAACACAAGACTATAAAGAATTCTAGTTTCATCTTTTCAAGCCATTGAATCTTCGAAATCACAAGAAGCTTAGAAACAAAGTGATCTGTGTTCCTGTCATGCTTTGACCATTGTTAACAAAGTTATGGGTGTTACTACAATAAGTTTGACTATTAGGCTTGTGCAAAAAATTCGCACAGCATCTTGTTCAGTGATCAAATGACAAATTAATAAGAAAAGAAAATAATGCAACTGATCATAACATAGAGAAATCAGTTGAAAATGAAATGAAATGAAAAAAATGTTTTATTATTCTGGGACTGTTGTCCCTTAAGAACAAAATATGAATACAGATTATATGTCTGTGTGGCTACAATTGAATTGTATATTTACAATGAAAGTTGACTTACGATAAAAATACAGAAAAGAGAAAAAAAAAGAACAAGTAAATTGTACATATGTATGAGAAACTAAAATAACCTTAATAAATTGAGGTACTCTCTGGTGGTGCTCAGATATTTCTCTGAGATATATTTCACAATCATTCGGATTGAGAAAGGAGTAGGTGCTTAAAGAGGAGTGGTTTAAACGAGGAAACTGATTGAGCGTGTCGAATATCAGGTGGGATGGAATTCCAGAGGGAGGCGGCTTGTATTGCAAAGGATTTGTCAAACGCAGCAGTTCGGTGAGGAGGAGGATAGAGGTCGGAAGTACGAGATCTGGTGGGACGGGATTGGATGGAATATTTGAATTGTAAGCTGTGAAAAATGTAGGAGGGTCGATGGGTTCTAATAATTTGGTACAGAAAGGTGGCTAGGAAGTACTGACGGCGATAGGATGGGTAGAGCCACCTCAACTCAGTGTAATACTGGGTAATATGCGTATCCCTTGAGATTCCGAAAACAAATCGTAGTGCGCAATTCATTAGGCGTTTAAGTTTGGCCTCGGAATCTCCCGGGAGTCCACCGTACACCATACAGCCGTAGTCGAAGTGGGGGAAAACAAGGGAGGAAACTAGGAGTTGACGGGACTTATATGGAAGGAGATATCGTAGACGATTGAACTGTTTTAGGGTGGAGATAGTGCGACGGGAAATTTGGGAGATGTGAGGTTTCCAGGATAGGGATTGATCGAAAGTAACACCTAGGTTTTTAACGGTGGTGTAGAATAAGATAGGTGAGTTGTTCAGGAAGAGATTGGGAGATACTGGGGAGGATTTGAGGAGTGAAGGGGATCCGATCAAGATGGCTTTTGTCTTCTCGGCGTTCAGAGTGAGCCTATTGAGGTTTGCCCAAGCACTTATTCTGTCAATATCTTCCTGAAGTTTTTGAGTGGCATCTGAGATATCTGTCGGATTAAAGGAGAGGTAAATTTGAATGTCGTCGGCATACAGGTGGTAATGACAGTGCAGGATAGAGGATGGGAGGTCATTTATATAGATGGAGAAAAGGGTGGGGGATAAGGAAGAGCCTTGTGGGACGCCTCTGGTCAGAGGTAGAGATTCTGATGGTGGGTTATTAGGAATTACAACGTACTGGGAGCGACCGGTTAGGAAGGATTGGAACCAATTAAGGGAACTAGAAGAAAAAGAGATATTTTTAAGTTTGGTTAGGAGGATGTTGTGGTCTACTGAATCAAAAGCTTTGGAGAAGTCTAGGAGAATAAGGATGGTTAGTTTCTGCTGATCTATGGCTGTGTGAAGGTCTTGGGAAATTTTGATTAGGGCAGACTGAGTAGAATAACCAGGCCTGAATCCAGACTGGTAGGGATTTAGGAGATTATTGTCCTCTAAAAAATGGGATAGCTGGGATTGGACTAACCGCTCTAATGGTTTTGAGAGGTTTGAAAGGAGTTGGTACTTACTCGCTAAATATAATCGACAAAGATAATAAAAATTAATTTAAAATTTCATTAATATATGAGTGGTATAATAAAAGGCCTCTGGCCACAGATGCAAAGTACGCATACAGCGTGCATAGCACTTTTACCTTAAAATGCTCTTGGGCAATAAAAGGAAATAAAAAAATTATGTATGTATAATTCTTTACATTTATATATTGTATTTTGTAATAAATAAATTCCTGAGGGGTGGGAAAAAAAAAGAAAAAAAAAATTAATATCTGAAACCAACATGTTTATAAATTTCAATAAGCTGTATTTTCATTAATAAATATCTGATTTCGAAGATTTTTTTTTTTTGCTTTTGTAGGGAATTTAGTTATCTATTATATAATCACTGACAAAGCCAAAGGAAAAGTGTAATTTTTTAGTTCTTCGCAAATAAATTTTCTTTTCTTTCATAACTTTTTTGCCTGAATTTTCAGGATGATTGGACTATTTTTTCTGCCTAAAGGAATAGAAAACCTTCAAAATTGGTGGCTCGGTCTTGGGATTTGATGAAAAATTAACAATGATGTAGCTTACCGACAAAAACAGAACTTTGATAAACGATATAAACTCCTCGATTATAGGTACCTCAAGTCTACGAAATGAGACATGTATTCCATGACAGTACTACAATTAACGTAAGGTTGTGTGAATCGAAACCTTTGTCTTGCGTTATCTCGAAATAGTAAGTTTTTGGGCTTGAGAACGCAAGGTAAGGAACTATAGGTGTACGCATCGCAATCTTCAAAACCCAATTGGTGCCATATCGATCTACAGACTTACCACCGTTTCACTATTGAGGCCTAGCAAAATGTTTGTGTTACAACTTCATTTATTTTAGAAAGCGGAGAGTACGATTCACTAACCTCCATGAAATTCTGAATCCAACGGTACCCCATTGATGGTATTTGAGTATGACAGGAGCTTATATTTGGTACAAAACCGATTTCAAGCCTTACTGTAATAATATATATTCGGATTGCTTTTATTTAACTAATACCTATTTTTCAAAGTAACTACAACCTATAAGTTAGAAGTAATGGCTCAAAAAGATTATTTGGCAGAATTCCGATAACAAAATTTATATACAGCATTACATCTTTGCCTTAGGCCTGCAAAAAAAATTTAACTGAAAATATAATGCTCATAGAACAAAAATTACACAATTTTTTTTTTTTCTCTAGAAAATTTGTAGTTTTTGTTCTTACGGGCTTTTGCAGTGTGGCTGTCGATATACTGTATCTTGATTTAAAATTGAAGCTATATTAATTGTTATAGTAAATCTCCAGATAAATGATATACTTTTAAAATTAGCTTTCCATCTTAAAAGTATTTTATAGTAGACATTTTATATTTTGATATTAAAACGATACTTAACAGTCTTCTCCAATATTGTGTATATATTATGGTGATCATTGATAATATCTTATTTTACTAAGTTTTCTCTTTGTTAATATTTTATCTTAGATCAATTTAAAGATTTGTATTTAGTCACGAAATAAATATGAATGTTAAATCTTTTAAATCTTAAATAAAAATGTTGATTATTATTGTTATTTAAACTAATCTGGTGACAAGTAATGGATTTGTTCGTATTTCATAATTATATTACTTAATTAAACATTTTTTAAACTCTTGCTTTCATTCACCAATTTATTTATTTTTTTTTTTTTTTACTTTAAATACTGATACTTTATAAAAAGAAAGTACATGATATTTTTATTTTTATTTTCACATTCTTAATTGTGTCACTCTTCATAATTTATGAAGGATCAATATTCAATCTTGTTAAAGTGGTAGACTTTGCAGTTATTGCTCATTGTACTGGGAATATTCAATATTTCACAACTAATGGTTTACTTTGGTTACAGGGGTAAAAATGGACGATTCTGGGACATCTTACCAGTCGAGGCCTGTAGTGCCGGTCATGCCTAGGTATCATTTTAGTTTATTTTTTTTTAAATTAGATTATAGTAAAATACACTGGTGGCCAAAAAAACCAGCACACCTTGAATTTTACATCAAAACCACAGATTAAAGAAATATTTTTGAACCTGAAGTAATAACAGGTATATGGCAGGTCAAAGGGATGATTAATCCTTTTGAGAAAATCTCATGATTCTCTCTAGGATTAGCGATGAAAATATTAAAATAAAATGTGGACTTCATATCTGTTTGTCTCCAGTAACCTGTTCAATTGCATTGGTTTTGCTTTTGTTTTTTTGTTTTTTAAAAACTTTATTTTAATTATATAAACATTTTTATGAGTGTAAAATGGTTTGGATCTCATAGCAGATGCTCAGATCACTGTATTAATTTAAAACTGCCGAAGATGAGATGGCCTGAGTGCATGAAAAACTGTTTGAAGAACAGTCCAGAAGTACCAGGAGACAAGAAACTACGTTAGGAGGCTGAGATCAGGCCATCTAGGAGCGAAAGGTCCATAAGAGCGATAACCGCTTCATTGCTGTGCAGTCCCTCAGAAACTGCTACCACATTTTAGTTGAGATTTCTCAGGGTGCGGATGTCAGCTAGGAGAAGGCTTGCTGAACTGAGTTTCCGCTTGCGGCTCTCTACTCACCTTACCACACAGAGAAGCTCGCCTTCACTTTTTTTGTGAACACGCAGAAGATGACTTAACCTCTGTTCTGTTTTCTGACGAGTCCAGATATAGCCTTTATGGTGCAGATGAGGTCTAATGTGTAAAAGACCAAGTTAGCAATTAGTTCTGCAATATAGTGGGAAGAGTGCAGTTCAAAGGAGGTTCGGTGATGGTTTGGGATGGACTATGTTTATAAAGTCAAGTACAGACCTTCATATGTTCCGAAGGCCGACGCTCAGTGCACACACATGAACACCGACATCCTCGAAGAATATGTGGTACCTTTTGGCCCGTTTAACCCCCTCTGTTTTCTTTTTATGCAAGATAATGCTCATCCTTTTGTACAAGATTACCTATACAAGGTTAGTGTCCGCACCTTGGAGTCGCCAACTCGCAGCCTGAGCTTCAATCCTATGAAGCATCTTCGGCCCCAGCTTAGGACATCCATCCATTGACAATAGAATCCTCCAAGTATGTGAAACTGATCAGATTCAAGATCATGTAACCACCTTATTCGTAGTATGCCTTCGAGAATACAGGCCGTTATTCAAGAAAAGGGAGGCAACACTAGGTACTAGAGATTCAGATTTCATAATTAAAAAAGAATTTGAGAATCTAGTTTGAAATAGTGTTTATTTGCTTTATTTTACATCACGATTTTTTAAATAAATTTTTGTTTTGTTTTTTTCCTTTATTTGTGGTGTTCTTTCTGTCCCTCAAGCACATTATGAAAAGAAATATAAGTATTGATCTAAAAAGACAGGTCTTTGACAGTTGCATAATTCCAGTGGTTACTTATGAATGCCAATCCATATTGGAAGTGGTCATTAATAAAAACTCAAGAGAGGAAGATCCAGGTGTGGCAGAATGATATCGAAAGATGTATTATGAATATGAGGAAAAAGGACAGAGTGAGAAATGACTTGATCAAAAAGAAACAGGACTCTCAGAGACCCTTAGGCTGGCACGAGTTAGCAAATGGCCTGGGCATCTCCTTCGGGAAATAGATATTAGATGGTCAAGAATGGTCACATACTGGACTCTGTATAATATGAAAAGAAGAAGAGAGCGTCAAAGGAAATGGTAGAGTGACCTGACCTCTCTGGTGCAGAGCTGCTAGAGATAAAGAAGAAGTGGACGGAGCTCACATCCCAACAGGGCTTGTCACTCCTGGGAGTGATGACTATTACTCCTGTAAGGGAAGGCCTATACAAGGCAGGAAGAAGGAAAAACAAAAAAATAAAAAAGAGCCATATAATCAATTTATTAATTTCTTTTCACACTTAAAGAATATACTTATTTAAATGTATTATGTATTAATTTTTGCTTAAATAAAGGCTATATCATATCATTTTATTTGTGGTATTCTTCAAGCAGAATAAGTCACACTATAGTGAGGTAAAAACATTGCGTTTTTTTTTCTATTTGAAAATAAATAACGGCAAAATTCAAGGTGTATCAGTTTTTTTTTTTTTTCACCAGTTTATATTTTAATTTATCCTTTCTCTATTAATGAATATACTAATATATCAGTAAAAAGGTAATTTAGATTTATTTTCATTTGCTATTTAAATTGACTTTTCGATATTGTTTGTTATTTTTTAGCCATTCAGCTGTATACTTAGACCCTAAAAGTGGTGAATGGTCTGTAAGTTCAAGATTGGTAGGCGGAGGTCATACCAGCCATTGGTTTTATAACAGTCATATTCTGAACCCTGCTAGGCTTGAATCGTGTGCTGTTCCCAGGTCAATTAGTGTACCTGCACCCCATAACCCTCAGGTATCATTTGGAATTCTTTTAAATACTTTTTTTTTATAATTTTGTTAAATTTATATAATGTTACCTATCTACGAGAGACCCAAAAAGAAAAAGTATCAGAGTTACTATATAACATTAATATGAAATATGAAATAATAATAATGATCCATAATGAGGTAGAGATGGTTTTGTTTGTTTGTTTGTATTTTGGCTTTAAGACTTGTAAAAGCAAGTCCTATTTTGCATAGAGATGGTTGACCGTTGATTTAATATGAGAAGGAGTTAATCGGGGGAGGAGGGGGGGAGAGAGTGGTCAAATAAATACTAAATTAAAATATAGTAATTATTTAATTAAATAATTACTATATTTTTAGTATTTATTTGACCACATCCCCCCCGATTAACTCCTTCTCAAATAATAATGATCAGTGGACAGTGGATTCTTTAAATCTCTGTTCTAAAATATTGTCATTTGGTCATTCTTTTTTTTTTTTTCTAGCAGTCATTACACCATGAAAAAATATATCATTGGTTTTTGTATCGATAAATAAGGTCAAAATAATTAAAAATAGTTTAGAAAGTTAGCTTATATCAAAAATGCACTTAGTCACTTTTTGCAATTAACAGACGATATAAAATTTATTATTAATTTTATATTTTTTGTGCCTTCTCTGAAAACTGCTTAAATAGACATACAAGTTATCCTTATACACCATTAATACATAGTCGAATATATTTTAATTGTTATTAATAGATTTATTTATCTTTTATGTATGACTTTTTAAAATGTTATCTGGATCCTATCATTGTTCTATGTTGATTTATTACTTTATCTTTAAATAATCACTGCAATTGTTATCTATGAGTTATTAAGGTTACTTTTCATGTTATATTTGTTTAAAATTTATAATAATTGATTTTCATTAACTCTTTTTTTTTTCTATTTGAACTGACTGATTATTCCTTCTGAATGAAAGGGAGACATAGAATTAATCTCTTTCTTTATGAAGCTTTCTTTTATTTAACTTAATTTTGTTTTTAATTTTTCTTGCATTATGTTGTATAGAACCCTTCTCCCCTCTCCCTCCACCAATTTTTTTTTTTTTTTAAATTAAAATATCGCTCCTTTACGGCAATAATTTTACAAAAATATTTGTTTGTAATGTATGCTTAATGTATTATTTGGAATTTTATTATGGTTTTAAAACCATCTTTTGAAATGGAATAGGTCAAGTGTCCCTGGTTGAGTTTGCAATAAGTATTGTAAGTATAATTTTTAGAACCGTAGAAAAGTTTGCCTGTAGCCGCAGAGTTCTGTGAAAAACAATCTTAATACCTCTGATTATTATAAATGTTGTCATAACTTGTTTACTAATTTAAAAATTCTCATAACAATTGTTTTTGTCCTATAGAGCGAGCTTAAAAGACCTCCTCGGCCGCACAGCCAGCCCTCATCTATCTCACCGGTATCGAAAAGAGCAGAAGGCCCCTGTTCCCTTCCCCAAATATCCGAGTTCAGCCCTCACTGTGCTTCCAGCAGCAGTAAGTTAACATTAACTTTATAATGGTGTTGGGTTTTAGCATTACAGGCCACAAAGTTGGAACATTCAGGTTCATCGGAAACCGTATTAGGCTTATGAGGACATGAGGATAGTCCACGGTACAGACCCCTTTTTAGCAAATTATTAACATCCTCCTGAAACATCGCAAATAGCTTCATCTCATCGTAACCTACGAATATTTTATTTATGAAATTTTTTGGAATTGGAGCGTTTTCAATCTGAAAGTCGGCAAACTTAGTCTATTTAATTAGGTACTAAAAACTTGTAAATACCCATTTGCTTTCCACTTGGATTGTAATATAATTTGATCACAAAATAGATTAAAAAAAAAAAGGTTGCCTACAAAAAGTTGGTAACATTTTAAGACAAACAATATTTTAAGGCTCAATATTTTTGAAGCCCATCTTTTTTTTTTTAAGAATGTGAAAAGCAAGTTTTTAGTACCTAAATAAATAGACAAAGTTTGCCAATCTCCAGATTGAGAATACCCCAATTCCGAGAATTTTGGTAAATAAAATATTTGTAGGTTATAATGAGATGAAGCTATTTATAAAGTTTCAGGCGGATGTTAATATTTTGATAAAAAGGGGTCTGTACCACAGAATATTAGAGATTACTATATTGTTTATTATAATCACTATGGGGACATCTGATTAAGGATAGGTGCTACACCTCACATCAAAAATTAAATTTAAAAAACAAAACAAATATACATAAATTTAACGCTGTTTAATAAAAATTTTTTAGTTTTTTAGTATAATTTTATAGTATTCAAGGGTTTAACAGATTGAGTGCTGGTGTTAAACATACTTCAATATTAATTTCCCCTTCTCTGCCTTAATATTGCCACTTCTTACAATGACACAACAAAACTTATTAATTTAAATGGAGGAATGTTATGGATTCTTATATTATTGTATATATGAGACAATAGAGTTTGGACATCCGGGTTAATCTAGAGAGAATTAAAAAATGTTACCAAAATTTAATGTAATGAGTGATTTTTACAAAAATGATTTTGATTTCAAAGTTTACACATTAATTGTTTTTAAATTTCTTAATTTTTACTTTACAATATTAACATATCGTGGTTCATAAATTGTGGTGCAATAAATAAATGTTGAGTTTAAATTACACAGATGTTTCAGTTTGTTAACCCTATCTCAGATCCTAAGCCGAAAACTTGAAATCTCATAAAAATCTGATTAATGGTATTAGAAGATATACTCGTCATATGGATTCGACCACATCCAGACATTGAACCAAATTTGTTTCTTGATATATAAAATGTAAAACGCATGTGGAAAATTTTGATTCTTAGTTCAAACTTTTTTTTTTAACCTCACCCGATTACAAAGCTTCCCTATCTCTAGCAGTGTGGAAGAATTAAAAAAAAGGTGTCCAACACCTGTGATATTGCATTTGTTCTAAATATTGTGTATTTTGTTCTAAAAGAAATTGTTTGATCGTTCAGTTCTGTTGTATTTGTTGCTATATTGTTTATATGTGGATAACCCTTTGATTAAAAGAATTTTGAATTTATCATGTATAGTATAGTTAAAAATGTACTAAGCCAAATAATGGTCTGCAATTTTTTTGATTTTTCACAACTTCGGTTACAAGAAACTCTGATTTTTATTTAACTACTCAGTTTCCTTATTGGTATCAGAGAATACTATTCCTGACCCACAAGTATGAATTAATTAAAAAAAATAAATATATAATATTTATTTGTCTGATAACAGTTTAATTAAATATTTGTTTATAGTTTTAGACGAATGTGGGTCTCGAGAAATGTACTTATCACCGTTCTCCGGGGCTGTAATGAAGACGCAAAGCCTTCCAGCTTGTGTGAGGAACAAAGCAAGACCTATTTCAACTGCTGATGACCTTTCGGAATTATATGCAAAGGTATACTTTTCTTTTATTTAACTTCTAAAATTCACAATGCAAGCCCTTTAATCAAACTGCTGAAAAAATAAGTTAGGCTTTAAAAAAATTTAGTTGAATGAGGTCTTTTTTTCATCAAACTATTTTAAGAATAAACCTTTGTCAACATACTCAGCACAAAAGTTTATAGATTTATTAGATCACCCATTATTGCCCTACTGTTTTGTAGATTTTTAAATATTTTATTCTATTTTGATAAATACCCAACTATCCTTCTTAACTAAGAGAAATTTGATGTTGAAGGAAAATTTAAATTAGAATTAAAACATAAAAAATTGTATTAACTCTTAAAAACAACTACTGATGAATGCTCTATTACATATATCAAGGAATTAAATGTAGGTTTTAACTTAAGTTTCATATAGACTTCTGAAGTAAATAATAAATTGATTTCCCAACAATCACTAACAATGGAAAAATATTTTTAAATTAAAATTAAGTATTCCCTCACTCCTCAAATCCTTCCAGGTATTCCGCAATCTTCTCCTGAACAACTCACCTATTCCATACTTCCGTTAAAACCTTAGGTGTTACTTTTGATCAAACCCTCTCCTGGAAACCACACGTTCCCCAAATTTCCCGTTGTTCTATCTCCACCCTAAAACAGTTCAATCGTCTAAGCTATCTCCTTCCATATAATTCCCGTAAACTCCTAGTTTCCTCTCACTTTGACTATGGCTGTATGGTGTACACTGGCCTCTCAGGAGATTTCGAAGCCAAACTTAAACTCTTGATGAATTGCGCTATAAGTTTTGTTTTCGGAACCTCAAGAGATGTGCGTATTACCCAGTATTATATCGAGTTGAAGTGGCTCTATCCATCCTATTGCCATCAGTACTTCCTAGCTTTCTGTACCAGGTCACATAAGAACTCATCAACCCTCCTATATTTTTCACAGCTTACAATTTAAATACTCCATCCAATCCCGTCCCACTTGATCTTGTACTTCCGACCTCTATCCTCTTCACTAAACTGCTGTGTTTGACAAATTCTTTGCAATTCAAGGATAAAATAATTTTTAAGACATTAATTATATTTATGTTGTGGTTTAGTTTCATGAACATCTATTTAATCCAAAATTTATAAAAAGTCTTTTCTTTTCTTTTTTCAGGTGAATTTTAGCAAAAAACGAAAAAACAGAATGCGAAACGATGAAGCAGCTATTATAGCCTTAAGTAAATCGCGAAGTCAGTTTCTTCATAAAGACACTGACTCGCTTGTTGACAATGAGGCCGTAGTTGTGTATGACGAACGAACGGCCCTATAATATCTTCTCTCTGTGATATGACGGTCTAAATACGTTCCATTACCCCATACTTGTATCTTAAACAATAAATTTGGGTGATATATAAATTAACGTAAACAATAATCTCATTCTTGATATTAACAGCTAGGGCTAGTTATATTAATTCTATCTTTTTAGAAGTATTAAAATGAGAAATCATGATTACTAAGACTGTGCTATATATATATATTGTATATTATATATAAATTAATTTCTTTTTAAGTACTTATCACATTGAATAATCAAACATATTATTTAAGTAAATATAAAATATTAAGAAAACAATATTTGTATTATTTATCCTCTTATAACATATCAAATAAACTTAACAGTACAAAACCATCTCTATCCACACCTTTTCAACAGTAGCTAGATGCAGACAGTTGCCATTTGTTAGATTATTTGTAATGTTTTTTTTGAAGAGTCAATTATTACCGATCATATTATAATAAACTAGCGTGTATTTCCTAGTTTATTTTTGCATTACATATGATGAAAATTATTTACTGATAAACTTTATTTAAATGTTAAATTATATTTTAACTTATTCTAATTTAAATTAGAAACTAGAATAATATTTTAAAAGCAATTCAAAAGAAAGATTACTTTAAATCTTAATAAGTAATGAAGTAGAACCATTATTGTAGGTGGTTCAATTATCTTTGAATTCTTGGAAAACTGAGTTTTCTTTTTACTTTGTTTTATTTATTTTCCAGTTATGTATACATTTGAAGATTATATCAAAGATTAAATGTACCACCAAGATGAAAGAATATATGAATCATCATTTCACAGAAGTAATTCAGAACTTCTGTAACTCAAAATTTTTAAATGAATCCATTTAATGTTTATGTTTCAAAATTTGATGAAGGCCTTCCACTGATGCTTTGCATCTTATCATCTTCAATGTTTTTGTACAGCTTGCATCAAAAACATCAGTAAAACAAATAGTAATGTTTAATCTCTAGAATTATAATACAGAAAAAATGAAATTGAAATTGTTAGAAAAATCTTATTAGAATATGGAATTAGTGAAAAAACTGTCCAAAATTTGTTAAAGCAGTTTCCTTCTTGTTCCTACTGTTCAGAATTTCAAGCTCAACAAATCAGTTTACCTGACCTTAGAATAAGCAAATAATCTTAAACAATTTTTAGCTATAACTCAGTGAAAGAAATTAAGAAAAAAAAGTCCTACTGAGTTGAGGAAACTGTAACCGATCATTTACAAAAAATATCCCCACATATATTATTACAGTAAGGTTCTAAATCGGTTTTGTACCAAATATAAGCTCCTCTCATGCTCAAATACCTGGAATGGGGTACCATTGGTTTCAGAATTTCACGAATCATACTCTCTGCTTTTCTTTTTCTTTCTAAAATAAATATAATATAATAATAAGTGATATAAACATTTTGCTAGGCTTTAATACTGGAACGGTGTTAAGTCTGTAGATCGATATGGTACAAATCAGGCTTTGAAGACTGTGATGCATACACCAAGACACGGATAGTTCCTTCGGAACTATCAGTCCTGTGTTCTTAAGCCCCAAACATACTATTTTCGAGCTAATGCAAGGGGTTCACATCAACACAACCTTACGTTAATTGTAGCACTATTATGGAATACATGTCTCACTTCATCGACTTGAAGTCCCTATAATCAAGAGAGGAGGAGCTTGAATTGTTTCTCAATGCTGTTTGTTTGTCGGTAAGCTGTATCATCATTAATTTTTCATCAAGTCACAAGATTGAGCCAGCCATTCTGAAGGTTTCCTTCTCCTTCAGGTGGGAAAAAAAGTCTAATCACCCTGAAAACTCAGGCAAAAATGTTATGAGAGAACAACTTTATTTGCGAATAACTCAAAAATTACACACTTTTCCCTGGGTTATGTCCATGATTATATAGAAGATTATTAAATTCCCTACAAATTATTATTTTCACGGCGCTACAACTCGGTGACGAGTCTTGGCCTCCTTCACCAGCTTCCTCCAGTCATCTCTGTTCTGTGGGGCCATCATCCAGCTCCTGACTCCCACATCCCTTGAATCTCTGACCATCTTAGTTTTGGTCTCCCTCTTCTTCATGTGCTGTGGAAAGGTTCTGTCAGGATCATCCTAGGGATTGCTTCATTCTCCATCCTTGCCACAGGACCAGCTCATCTCAATCTTCCAAGCTTTATCCACAGAACGACATTCTGATCATTAAAAGTTGTGCAAATCTCGGCATTTGTCCTTCTTTTCCAATTTCCATCAATCTACATTCCTCCAAATATTCTTCGAAGAATTTTTCTCTCAAAGATTAGGTCTAGCTCAATTTTTTTAGTCGTCCATATTTCTGAAGCATAGAGCAGGACTGGGTGGATCAGTGTTTTGTAAAGATGTGGCTAGTTTTTTTAAATTCCCCACAAAAGGGAAAAAAAAAATCTTCGAAATCGGAAAATTATTAGCAAAAATACAGCTTATTGAAGTTTGTAAACATGTTGCTCCCAAACATTAAAGAAGTTTTAAATTAATTTTTTTTTCCTTTGTCAATTATATTTAGTGAGAAAGTAACAATTGATTTCTCAATCTTATATGTTGCATTATTTTATTTTCTTATCAATTCGTCATTTGATCACTGAACAATATACTGTGCGAATATTTCGCCTGGGCTGGTTCCATTAATGTTCGGTGGCCCTACTGGTTCATTAATATTCTGTATTACCTATTATGAAAAGGCAGACACAATCACTTTGCAAATACCCAAAAACTGTGATCTTATGATACCCAATGAAGTGATCTTTTTTGTCACAAACCATTATTATGGTGACTATAAATGAAAAATTAGTAATCCTGAACAAAAAAAAATTGTATAGAGCTTGGCGCTGTTAATATTAGCAAAATATTTATCAGGTCCAAAATTCAAGAATAATTTGTGATTCATCTGGTCATGTTCTCAAGCCAGCCACAGAAAACAAGTAAATGTTCGATTTGTTATAAATTTTGAGTAGTTGTTTATCTGGTTGTCACTGTATTTTTAATTTTGTAAACAAAAGTTATCGTATTTACTATATAAGTGCTACTTTAGTAATAAATATCTTTCTTCTGGATTTCCAAAATATATTTAAAATCAGACAAATTTTAAAAACTTTTAAATTTTAAAACTGAAGTAGATAGAAATAGAAAAATAACAGAAGTTACAGAAAAATTAAATGTATTTCTAGCCAGAAGGCTAAAAGATAATGTAAAAATGTAAAGAAAAAAAAAACATTAGGTTCACTAAAATATTTACATCGATGTTAAAGAAAAGTAAAATCCAATAGGTTGGCCAAATCTCTTAATAAAAAAAATTAAAACTACTTCTGTTATCTAAAACTAATTAATTAATTTATTATGTAAATTCGCATAATCATACACTCAAAAAAAGAAGAAAAATATTGAGTAAAAATAAACAAATACATATATACTCTAAACCAGGTATGTATAGTTAAACATAACTAATTCAACTTCATTATAAAATAGATAGATAGATATACCAGTAAAATAGTATTGATAGTAAGTGAGTAACATTTTTTAACCACCCCATGAAGTCCATTTAGTTTTTGACTGGTCATAAAATGTTACTTAGTCGAGTCCCTGCCTACCGCCATTGCAATGTTGTTTAAAATGTTAAGATAAAGCTTAATTATTGAAGAAAGTAGTTCCCTTAACTGGTAATTCCTCTTTTTAGGGTTAAATTATATATATATATATATATATATATATATATATATATATATATATATATATATATATATATATATATATATATTTTATTTTATTTTTTTGCTAATAAATGCTTTTCATGATACTTTGTGCTTTTATGTTAGGCTTCTTTCCTAAATGTTAAAGAATGTCTAAGTGATAATATCATAATTTAAAATTTCCTATTTTTTAAATATATTTTTATTAGTAGTATATTTTAAGTGAAATAGGTAATAAATTAAACCAACATAACCTACACATATTCAAAGGTTAAATGAAGTCTAGTCAGATATAAAAACAAGTAGAATTTATTTACATATATACAGATATGTATGAAAATAATATTATTTTCTTCGTTTAAAACGAGGTACTCTTGAAGGCATCCTGAACTTTGTAGGTGGACGTCGTGCAGTGTCTCTCCTTTCTTGACGATGTTTCTTAATAGTATCAGGATCCATAGCTCCCTTTTTTTTCTTCACAGACAAAAGAATTTTGAATTAAAAAAACAACTTTGATACAACTTATTTTTAGCTAATATAAAAAAGATCACCAAAAGTAAAATAACTAATTATACCAAAAATTTACATTTTAGGTGATAAATAATCAGAACTCAATCATTTTTTTTTATAATGTTATGTTAAATTATCAGTGATTTTTAATAATGTTATGTCACATCACCAGTCATCATGCGTTATGTTACATCATCAGCAATTTTTAATAATTTAAATTTTACCATATTAACTATCATCAATTAAATTCATACTTATAATTTATACATAATCCTTATTTATTTTACTTCAACAAAAACGGGAAAGGAGGAACATTTACTGTTATACTATCTAAATACATTAGACGGGGGAGGGGAGGGGGGTTAAATTCAGTTTACTAGCCCATAATGAGATTAATATTACCTTCTAGGCAGAGACAATAAAACAAGTATCCCCTCTAATACACCTTTATTTTGTGATTGATCTTTTTCTTTTTTTTTTTGGTCCTAGCCTTATAGCTATACCATTATTTTTCGGGCCAGAGGATTAATGACAAAATTAAAAGCCCTCCCTCACACCGGGATGCAAACTTGTAATTATTTTATCATTTTTATCTTCAGTTGCCGGCAACCCTGCTCCTGGAGGCTTTTCCAGTTCCAGGGGAAGGGACAGGGGATTAATGCCCTCTCCAAAGCTGGGATGCAAATTCCTAATTACTTTATCTAGTTTTGCACATCCGTTGGCCATCCCACCCTCTTCCTAGCCTTCTCAGCTGTATGTTTTCCAGATTCAGGGGAGAGGGCAAGGGATTAATGCTAGAGTTAAAACTCCTCCTCCCCAAACGACAATGGGATTCGAACTTGTAATCTTCAGTTTATCAGGTTGCTCAGAAAAATGTTTTATACATGCGTTAGCTTAAATGGCCACCCCACCCCCATGTGATTGACGATAATAAGAAATCAGTACAGTTCTCAACTAAAAAGAAACATAAAATGAACTCTATTAAATCATTATTTCAACCTCCCCTGCCTTTCACTACTAAAACAGATGCCTGAAACATTGTCATATTATATGTAAGATTAAATTAAATAGTTAAAGTTTAGAATGGTGAAAGAGATGTATGAAATCCAATCTTTTTATTTCTTTATGAAAACCATATCTCATTTTACAACCTCCATAGGATGTTTACAGATATTACAGATTTTGTATTAAAATATTAAAAGTTAAAACAAAATCAGAAAAAGACAATTGGATATGATTCATCAGCTACAATGTTTGTTATTTTATTTAAAATATTACCGGTTTATATATAAATGAATTTTTTTTTCAAAACATATTTATTAAGAGATATTATAATTTGTCACAATTAAGGACATTTATAATAGTTTTCTAAGAGCACATTCACACTCCATTCACAATAAATAAAAATACACAATAAATAAAAATAGAAATAGAAATAAAATAAAATTAATAGATAAAAAACCAAGAAAATCAGATAGAACTGATTCTCTACTTACTTTAATACTAAAAGTAATTTCTTTATTTCCAGCATTAAATTCTCTTATCGAGTGTTTACTTTCTTTCTTAAGCCTTTGAGCCAATGATAATCTACATTAAAAAAAATACATATTAGAAAAATAAATGAAAATAAAAAAGATAATTCAAGAAACATAATGAATTTAGAAATGATTTTGTGATTTAATCGTCAAGTCTACAATCCATTAAAATAATCAAAGTATTTTTCTAAGACCCTATGATAAAAGAAAATGCACTGCTATTAATACAGCATAACATCTTATAGCCTCATCTTTTTACAAACTTTTTACCATTCCAAAAGCTCAAAATTAAATTATAGTTAGTGAAATTTGTGTTGTATCTTATCCAATCAATTGAGTTATTAAACAGTATACAGATGTAAGTAATTTTACATGTTTGCGGAAGTTTGAATGTGGAGTAGATGGTGGAACAGGAGTTGCTTGAAGGAATTTGGGAAAAGTTGGCGAATGTAAAAATAAATATAATTATTTTTACTATTTTTATTTTGACTGATCACCCCAACCATCCTTCTCTTCGATTATTCAGTACAGTCAACGATCAACTCACAATCAATAATATAATATGTTTTAAGGAAGTGAATGTTTTCTGTTACTTTTTGAAGTGAAACAGGTTTATATATAAAATGTTTTTCACAAGCTAATAATAGACCCATTACAAAACTTAAAATTTGAGAATTTAAAGAGTTTATATTACGAATATATGTTAAAATAAACAATGGACACAAATTCCTGAAAGATGAATCACTCACTTGGCCAAAGGATCCTCCCGCACCTGACCAGTCTTGTAGACTGAACCAGGCTTCAGCTCGTACAGCTTAGGTCCGTTCTCCATCAGCTGCATCCTCTCCTCCATGTCTTTCTCTCTCTTCAATTTTTTGTGCTCTGCTTTCACTTCCTTAACCCAATCCATGTCATCATCAGAATCAGAGCTCTCATCAGAGCCTGCTTTTTCTTCCAATTTTTCATTCTCCTGCAAAAAAAATAATAATAAGTTTCAATTTTAAACAAATATATACAAATATAAATTTTGGTAGATTGTGGTTGAGTTTCCCCAACAACATTATGACTGAGGTTGTTAGCCCCAAAATGTTTCGTTTTTACCTAGTTCTATCCTTAATCTAACAAGCTTATCCAGCCTCACCACATGGAGATCTGTTACTCAGAACTTAAGATGTAAAAGTAAGGAAAGTTCTAGAAACCAAAACAATAGCAGCAAAAAAGAAAAAATCTAAAAATGGTATCCACATGCGAGATCCTCAATTGGCCTTTATCACGATAAAATATGTATATGTATATATATATATATATATATATATATACATATTTTATCGTGATAAAGGCCAATTGAGGACCTCGCATGTGGATACATACATGTGGATATATATATATATATATATATATATATATATATATATATATATATATATATATAACTGTAAATACATACAAAAACATATACTATCCACAAAACAGAAAAACAGTTATTGAGTATTCAAAAAAGATTCCTTATTGTTAAGCATCTTATTGAATGTTTCTCTAGCTAAAACCTTACTTAATTAAATATTAAAATAATTCATAAACGTCTAGGAATTCATAGGAACATTAAGAGAAGGTTAAGTTATGGTAGTGTAGGGTAATAACCATGACATTTGTTATAACTAGGAATCTGTTCCGATTGATGAAAAAATTATTGGTATGATGCAGTCACAATATTTATAGGTTATATAATAATGAATGAAATATCTGGACCCACTTTCATGGGGAGGCAGACGAAGCATTTGGATAGAGGTGACGCTTGCCTCGTCAACTATGGTCAAGAGGTGTTGCTGATTGGACCCTTGTGATTGAAAATGAGTTCTGATCACGAGACTATTGGCTTTAGCAAAGTAAGAGGAAAGCAAGAGAGTCAGGATGACATTAAAAAAGAATTCGTAACAAGAACAGCAGACTGGAGGACATTTTCAGAAAAACTTGAAGAGATCCTGACAGATTGAGAGTGGATGGAGGCTTTACAACGGTGAGGAGAAGATGGAAATAGAGCAAAAGGTGGAATAAATAATGGAGATAATTAAAGTAGCGGCTGAGAACTCCCTTCGGTGCAGGAAAGCAAGGGCACACCCGGTATCATGGTGGACGCCAGAGCTTACCAAGCTTAAAAGAAGGGAGTATCATAGAGCGAGACGAAGATATCATGGAATCAAGAATGAAGAGATAAAGATTGTACTTAGAGAAGAGTGTAGGCGTAAGTACCGAACCTATCAAAACGGATTGCACAACCAGAAAAGGAAATCATGGGATGACTTCTTTATAGAGGAATCAGCAAAGAATCTCTGTGGTATACCCTACAGGTTAGTCCTGGACAAACTGAAGTCATCACAGTTGGAAACAACCAGGCCACCATCCTAGAGGAGGCGATCGAAATGTATGTCGATTACACTTATTCCCGGGATGACAACCATGGATACTGAAGGGGGCAGAATGCTCAGGAGAACAGTGGAGTACCCACAGGGAACAGACCTGTGCCAGCCCTGGAATAATTGGGACGTGTGAATGGCAGTGGAAAGAGAGAGGACTGGTCAAGTCCCAGGGCTAAATGCTAGTATGCCTAAAGCATACAGACCCATATGTCTCCTCCTGGAGGTCAGTAAAGTACTGGAGCATCTAATATTAACATCGCTGAGACCAGTTCTCCAAGCAGCGAGCCACCCACGCCAGTACAGAGGAGAGGACAGAAGAATATGTGATGATTTTTCTTTTGATGATCTTTTGAAATATCATCTGGTTTTGACAGTGTGTGGTGGGCCAGTGTACTCCAGCGGCTACAAGAGTTTGAGGCCTCCAGCAATCTTTATTCCCTTGTGAGTAGCTATTTCTGTAATAAAAGAGTAAAGGTGCCCGGTAGCTCTTATGAGATAGAGAGAGGTTACCCACAGGGCTCGGTGCTTGGACCAGAACTATGGAAACTGGTGTTTGATTAAATATTTGAGCTAGAAGCGGAGGGTTTCAGAGCCACAGCATACGTTGACGACCTGGCTGTGATAGTAGCAGCACATAGCAGAGCTAGGCTTGTGATGGAAGCAGAGAGGAGTGCCAGTAAGGTAGAAGAATGGTGTAGCAAAAAGAAGCTGAAAATGGCGGTGGCCATAACACAGGCTATACTTCTTAAAGGGAATACAGGGAACCTGGGAGGAGCAAGGGTATGAGCATGTGAGGAGGTGACATACCTGGGAGTCAGATTCAAGCTTTCGGATAGCAGGTTTGATGCTATCCCACACATCTTATGTCTTAGAGACAGGGTGACTCACTCATTGAACAGACTACTGAGGATAGGGAGTGCTTTCTGGGGAATTAAATACCCCTTGACAAGAGTTATTTATAAAGGCGTGGTCCTGGGAATTCTGAGATACGCATTCTTTGCCTGGAGTCACCGCCTTACACAAGTACAAAGGAAAAAGCTAGCAACCATTCAGAGACTGGCATTTATTAGGGTTACTAAGGTCTACAGAACGGCCTCACACGAAGCGGTACAGATGCTAGCTGGAGAATACCACTGGTCTTGATTCGGAGGAAAGACGCCATTGAATTTGATGTCAAGAGACACGGGTTAGGATTGCTCCTAGAAAGACAACGACAGACGGCAGAAGAAAGACTAGGGAATTGGGAGACGGTGTTAAGAGAAGATTCACTCGAGGAGTGGAACAGGCGGTGGACAACACACGGGACACAGGGGGTTTAGAGATAAATTGAATAAGCATGGAAAGAATATTGGCTCTCAGTGCCCCACATGCAGAGTTTCTGACAGCGGAACACGCCGGGATGACATGCTCAAAAATGGACCAACACTGAACCTGGCTGTACTGGAAAACTGGGCTATACAATCTTGGAGATTTCACAGGACTGATGGCGGAGGATAACTACCCTCACTTAGGGGAGTACGTGAGGAGGTGGAAGGAAGTGATGGGCCCTACCAGTTGGAGAGAGTGCTAGCAGAGGAAGGGGAACAACTGGCACTCCAAAGGCCAACCAAAGGACACAGAGGAGTAAAGAAAAAGATAGAAATAGAAAAAGAAAAATATATATAAATAAATAAATAAAAAAGAAGAAAAAGGTGTAACCCCATCAGAAGTTACGCAGCCGCGTACCGGGCTACACAACAGAATCCTTGTTTTTGTTGTTCCAAAATATATAAACGAAATAAAGAGAGTTGTATCAGTGGCAGTGGCATACACAGATCCCATATGCAATATCTTTGTTGCTAAAAAACCCTTATGCCAGAAATAGGGGTTTAGAGGTAGGGCAAAAAAAAAAAAAAGATGCAGCAAAAAAAAGTATTCTGAAGAATTACTTTGATTTGCAAACTTAGTTCAACAATAAAAATTATATGTTAAGAATAAATTAAATCTAAAAATAATGACAAAACAATGTACTTATTAAATTATATATCAAAAGTTATCTTAAATACTTATTACTTGCAGTTTATTTCTGATTATTCTTGATTAATATAGTATTTAAAAGTTTTTACAAAAATTATCTAAAAAATGTATTAACCATAATTCAATAACAAAATTTTTTTTTTCTTTTAATTAAAAAAGATTTGTATATATCTTCCTACAGGTGGCAGTGTAATTTCTGGACACAAGGCCCTTATTCTATTTCATATAATTCAAACCCAAATTACATCAGGTATACATCTCCTCCGAGGTCTCAAGAACCTACTCCCTTTCCCCTCCTCCAACGATATTTTATTGCTCACCTTCCTTAAAAACAGAGCAAGCTAAGGTAGAATTAGAAAAATCGTAGGTCATACATAAATACATGTTCTGCAGTCAGTTATATGTGTTACCCTTGTCCATTAGTCCGAAAATGCATAAGCCTGTCGAAATTTGTCCCCCACAAAAATGCAACAAAATATGACCCCTCAAAAATGTTGATGGCACAACTTGCGACATGAAACCTCCTTCTGGGCACTCCTGTCAGAGAATTACAACAATAAACCAGCAAATATCAACTTATCTCTATTAATTCTGAGAAGAATTAATCCTTCTGTGAACTTTATAATTATTTGTGATCACCCTTTAGGCAGACAATTGTTACCTCAACTTGCTGGAATTGCTGTTGTAACAATTCTTGTTCCAGTTCCTTTTTCCTTCCTTTGTCTAATCTTGATATTACAGGATTCAATAACCTAAAAAAAATTAGTAACAATTTATAACTGATAAAAAGAAAATTTTTAAAATTTTTTTTAGGATAAAAATCGCAACAGTGAAGCTAACGACTTGTAATTATTATAATTTTATAGCATTGAAAGGAATAAAACCTTGCAAATTAAATAGATTTATCATGAAAATATGTACGGTTGTCATACTTTATATTAATTTTTTTTTTAATTAATATCTAAAGAAAATAGGATTGTAAGTGAACATTGTGTGACGTACTGCACCAGATTTTATAAAATTAATTTCTTTTCACTTTGTTTTTATTTTTACCAACAGTGGTCAAAGAAAAACAATACTATATACAATTATTGACAAAAGTAAAAATCTGAGTATTTAAAAAAACACTTAAACAATAAAAATAAGGCATATGATAGAGCACTGATTATGGTATACTGACTGAAAACTGGACTAATCATGATTAATCATGATTCTCTTTTTAAATAAAATTTGGATCAGTTAAAAACATTTTATAGAGTAAAATGTTAAATCAAAATGTTAAAAATTCGTCTTTATTCCATAAATAATTATTTTATTAGAAAAAAAAATGTTTATTAGGAACTATACAGAAAAATAAACTCTAGTTTATATGTCTACATTAAATGCTACGATTATAGTTAATTATCTTTTAATATAGTTAATAACATTTATTGTAATTGTAGTAAAGATTCTGAAATTGAAAAGTTTCTTGAATTAAAAAAAAATAAGGGTCAATGCACAATTGTTTCCTGTTATCCTTTGAGGTTCCTGGAAATTTTCCAGATTTTTCTACTTGCCTGTTTCATTTCCTCAGTCCATGTTTGAACATTGAATGTGACACACAGGAGTTTTGCTTTTACATATTGAATACCTGTTTGTATTAACATCAAAAGGTTATTTCATGTTTTTAAAATTAATGCTTATGTATGCCACTAAGGTTTATTATACCAAAAAAGAAATATGTTATTTCTTTTCAAGATCTAGTAAAAAATTGCATAAAAGAAGATAATCCAGACTATTTCAATATCTGCACTAGAGTTGACTTAGCTTAGTCCGGATAGCAAACGTTCTACTGTAACTGTATTTACCTGTACTCTTCTGTATTAGGATCAATCTGGAAATCTGGATTAACAAACAACTGCGTGAATCTATCATCCTCTAATAATGAAGCACCATTCTTTTTCTTTGGTTTCCTAGAGTCATCAATAAGTTTCAAAGCCAAATCTTTGTTAACTTTTGGTAAAGCCTGAAAATGTTTTTGTAAAAGTTAGGATTTTCTTATAGTCAAATTGAAAATTTTCTGAACGAGTATACATTAATTAATTTAAACAATAAAAACCTTTATTTGAATTCTAGACTCTGTTTCTGATTGGATTTTCTCTCTAATCTTCTTCTTTTTATATGCCTCATAATTAAATGATTCAGAAAGAGATTTAGCTTTGTTATATAGCCTGATACTCATGAAATAACCATGCATATAAGCCCGTAACATTTGTGTTCCTACAAAAAAGAGTTTAAATGATATTGATAGGCCAGTGTATAAAATATGATTGCTATTAACTAAATAAATAATTCTCATAGATGTACAGATATAATTATAACAGTCGTATATATATATAATACATTGCCTACATAAACAAAAGTCACTACAGCAGATTAAATGAAACAAATATTTTGGATAAAAATAAAAAAATTATTAAATTTATGGATAAAATTTGCAAAATAAAATTCAATCAAATAAATATAGATATAAGAAAAAAGTTTTGAAAAAAAAATGACCGACTATAATGGCAGGTTTCATGGATTAACCAGTTGAAACATATGACCTTTCCAATTCTTTTTTTAAATTGTGAATGATATCGAGTTCTAAGGTTCTTTCTTCATGGAGTGAATTGTAACTTTCGAGCTAAATCTAGAGTTTAGGGGAGAGAATTGGCCCAGTAGTCTTAGGGAAAAACTGCCAACATACAGTTTTTATTTGAATTTCAGAAATTGTGTATCATAAAATAAGGCTCAAATTTTGAGGGGGAGGAGTTAATTTCTTCTCTTTGGTTGATTACAAAGGTTCATTTCTGTAACTAATAAACCAAAATCAATGCATCAGTAATAAAAGTTATGACGTATAAAAACAAAATATAAAAAAATAAATGGTCAACATGAACTAAGATAGCCTCTTCACTCTTCATTTAAAAGTTAAGCTTTAACCCACCTAAAATAAAAAAAACCAAATAAGCCTGACCTCAATCAGCTGGAGAATGACAATCTGGTTCTTAAAGTTTAATAATACGTTCTGGAGACAAGGAAGAATCCTTATGGCTAAATCATCAATGAGTAAAATGTTACTCTTGTACAATAAAAGATTGATTCCTCAGAGCAATCTGATAAAATAGATCAGCTGACATCTCTTAATTATACTTTTGGGCTCCTTTCAAATTCTATATTGACCTATTTTAGTCCCTGTCATATCGACTAAACACAACTACCTTTTATTAAAAAATAGTGCTCCAAGAAAAGGATATTTCATGAGATACAATCAAAAAGTTAGGACAGATGTACTATAAATATAAATAGATGTTGGAAATAATAGGGTATAAATAAAATATCAGAAAAATTAACTGAAAATATTTCAAAAGCTTGGGACAGGAAAAACCTCTAGAAATAAAAGTAATTAAATTAACATTAAGAACAGAAAAGAAAACCTATCAACCCATACACAAATTGAATTATTAAATTTCATTAGTCTCAATCATCAATTTATTAAATTTTGAATAAAATAATTTACCAATGAGATGAGATAAGTTAAGTTCTTCAAGTTCTTTTTTAGTAACAAACTTGTAATCATCATAAATTTCTTCAACCCTGCTCTCTTCTAATTCTTCAGTAAGGTTATCCAAGAATGAACACCATTTAGGAGCTGGCCCTAAGGACTATATGAAAAAAAAAATTTATTAGACTAAATTTTATAAAGACTATAAAAATCAAAAAGATGACATAGGCACTGACAGAAAAACAAATGACAAACGACATGTTGATTATTAAGTGAATTTAAAAAAATTAAAACAACCAAAATAAAAAATAACTCACTGGGATGTAATAGCAATATATTTTTGGACTTTCATTAGCCATAAACATGAGCCCTGTTTTTGCAACATGACAAAGATTGTTGAAAGTAAAATCACCAGACTCTATAGAAGTATAAAGTTTTCCCTGAAATATAAAAAAGTTGAAATTAAAAAAGAATGTATTATAAAACTTTAATAACTTAATGGATATACATTAAGTCAACAAAAATATCACCCAACAGTTTGAGAAAATATAATTTTTGAATAGTTTACCTGCAATATTTTTATGTGAATATTTAAAATAAAATAACTGAAAAAAATAATATGGTTCTTTAAAACTTACATTATCTTTCTCCCATATTTTCAAAATAGCCTTATCCATAGATAAGATATAGTCCTCATGAAATACTACATCTAGTATAGGATTGCCATACATGTGATCCTTTACACGAAATGGTTTATCAGATCTTAGATCATAAAGTAAAACTTGGCCAGTAGCTGTACCAACACCCAATGTTAATGCACCATTAAACTGTAGGCTAGTCACTGAAGGAAAACCATCAACTCTGAAAACATTGAGTAAATTAGTTTATGGTACTTATCCAAAATTGATGCATAGTAATATACATAATCATTCCGTAATACAGACAAATATTGCATAGCTTGAATTAATTAATCCATCTTAAAGAAAAATAACAAAGAAAAAACAGATGAAATTAAAAAAAAATTACAAATTAATTTTTTTTCTCTATTATCGAGAGACATTTGCATTCACTAATGATTTAAATCTTCGGCCAAATAACTACACCATTAATTTAGAAATACAACATAAGCATTTCAATATAAGTCATATTTTTTAAATTTTACTCTCCCCTTCTAGAATAATAATCATTGATATACATACAATTAGTCAAAAATTTAAGACCAACAAAAAAATAGAAATATAACACAAACATTTTCAAATGAAAATAATAAATTTTTAGTTCATAGTAACAAATCATGAACTGAACATGTATTATACTCACTGAAAATTAATGTGTTAAAATAAAACATTTATAATTAAATTATTTATAAGACTTCTTACTTCTTCGAATTCTTACCAACAATTACTGATCACATCAAAACACAAATTTACAAAATTAATTGTTTTTTATATGCTCATTTCATCCTAATGTTAACACTTTATTTGGTACAGGCAGTGCTGGCTTTAGGGGCAAACAAGCAGAGTCTGTACCTGAGGTGCCATCTGGAAGATACACTCATTGGGAGTTAAAAGAAATTACAAAGCCTGTCAATAAGACAACTGAATTATAAACATATTGAATAAGATACATTTCAAATATAAAATAAATTACGAAGCCCTTCATATGCGTCTTATTTCTCCGACTAAATTACTTTTTTTTGTGGGGGTGATCATAACATAAATGTCCGGGGTGCCAAATATCCAAGACCAAAACTGAGCGTGGGTCGTGCAATTGCACATTGTAATACCACTGGAGTTCCCTATTTGAATTATCCTTATTTAAATAAATCATATATCCTTACATGAAGAATTTTTAATAAATAAAGAAATCCAAGAACCAATTAACAAAATCTACAATGATTAACTTTTAATTCTGATATGGTCTTAAATTTTTGACAGGCTTTATCCATGATAAAAAAATCATGTTGGCCATTTGATATTTAAAATAAATTAACAATTATCAAGATTTATTACTGAGTATCTTCTGAAAGACAGCTTGCAGCAACATCAAGGCTTCCAACTTTGTTTCTTACTCGAGGATCCCAGGCTTCAACTTTACCTTCTTTAGTACCAACGCAAATAAGGTCATGAACTGGGTTGATAACAATTTTATGAATTTCAGAAGCTTCTGTAACCAGTGAATTCAAAAACTGCCCTCTTTCTAAGTTGAATCGGTATATATCCGAGCTGAAAATATGATAGTCAATAAGTAATAAAAAACTGAAAATGAATAATTTTAGAAAATCCATAATACGCTATACCTGGCACCAACAACGTATAAATCACAAGATGAATAATGATATTTCATGTCTCGTCCATACTTTGGTATTCTCAGCTTATGATAAACTCCACCAGCAGCATGAAATTCCACTTGACGATCATTTTGTAAAAACACAAGCTAAAAAATATAAATTAATAAAATATTTGTAGTACCAAGTTGAAACAAATTTTAAGCAGATCTAGTTTAATGTGCAATAGACTTCTACAGAATAAATTTCTGATAATTATTCTAGAATGGAGAAAATAATAACTTTTAAAATGTTGCTAGCTAAGAAAATAATTACCTTGGTGTAGTCATCAGAAAGAATTTCAAATGTCACTACTTCCGCATCCATACATCTTTCAAACTTCATTGATAGATTGTCAACTTCATAGCATCTAATTCGTGGCTTGTATATACCAGTAGCGAGAATATAATGCCCATCTTTGGATACACGTACACAGTTGCTAACATCTGGCATTTCAAAGTCTTGTATAAGTTCTATTCTCTTGCGGAGGTCTGAATTGAAAAAAAAAGAAGTAAACAACCAGTAATACAAATTTTACATATAATATATTTTGCTATACTCTGTGATACTAACCTATGTCTTTTTTCAGTAAAGCTCTCTTTTTTCTGTCTGTCAACCACTGAAATATACAATTAATTTTACAATTAAACTGATAAACAGGAAATTCGATAAGTAAATTGGTTATAAATAAAACATGTAATTACTTCAGGAAGAGATTTTCCTGCGGTGAGGTTATAAATCTTGACATTATTTGGGTCAGAAACTTGCATTTTTGATTTTCCAAATAATTAACCATATATTCAAAACAGGGCAAGCCTTGCCTCCCAACTCTAAGTAACAATGTGCTTAAGGAGAAGGTTATATTTACCTGCCAAACAATTCACATGTGTCGTTACTGAACGATCAGTTTAACAAAATTTCATAGAGCTAGGAATTTGTCTCTTACTTCCTAAGACTAACACCATTCTTATGTTTAAATGAAGACCTGCAAAAAAGTTAGAAACGTAGCTTTCAATAAATAGTAAATACTATTTGAAGTTTGTTTTATTTTTTTCTGGCACTACTATCTCTACTCTCAAAAAATGTTATTGCACCGTTTGCCCCACCCTAAGACCGTCACTGTCCTGATATATTTCCTTTAATATTTTTTTTTTCACTTCTGTTTCAGTAATGATACCTAGATTAAATTTTCCGTATTGGTTTAATTTTTGGATCAGTTCCTCATCGAATGCAGAACAAACCAGGAAAAGTCCCCTCCAATCCCACGTCTACTTCTATCCAAAATGGAGGGTCAATGATGACCACCTAGAACTTTCTGTCTTATGTTATGTTTTTTTCTCATATCTTCGTCAAAAACCGTTATTCTTGAACTATGTAAGTACTAATATAATCGGCAAGGAGACTTATTTTGGATTCCATCGAAGTTCACCTGATAAAAAAATGATAAACCAGCTGTAAATCAATCTTTAGCATAAGAGAGAAAGTTCTAGGTGGCCATCTTTGGCCCTCCATTTTGGATAGAAGCGGGGATGGGATTTGAGGGGACTTCTCATGGTTTTTTCTACATTCGATGATGAACTAATCCCCACATTTACAGCCAATTGTGAATTTTCTTTATATCGACCCTGTGTTTTGCCTATTTTTACTGGGCTATTAGGACTTTGAAACAGAAATTTTAATTTAAGGTTTTTTAAACATTCAATGTTTTATTATCTTTTTCAAGAATGATTTGATTTTTTTCTTCTCCTTTTCTAATTTTATTATTGTTAAAAATTACAATCTGATCATGAACGGTCTTTCATGTTAATAGCTTTCCTGTGAATGAATCATCTGCAAAACTTACGTTATAGAGAATTTCGCTTTTGCTTGAGACATAATTTTTACAGATTAGAGTGCTACCTAGTGGGTAGTTTCTCAACATGTGTTTCATGTCATCATATCCATGTACGAATTTACTAGATGTATTTTTTTTATTATTTTTTTTATACAGTTGTACATATCATAATAAATAATAATAAAATATTTTACACAGAAATAATAAAGCTATTAAAGAAGCAAGTGATCGGTCTGTATTAGGAAATTTTTGTAATAGAAGTAGTGTCGAAAATTCTTATATGCCCATATTATTCCAAGCAGTTTTATTTTTTTGTATTTATCCTTTCTTCATGCTTATTGAATGTACTTGGAGCAAAGGATCTGGATGAATCTTTTCCGGAAAAATATTAATAAAGAACTAATTCTAAGGTAACTGATATTTTTGCCTAAGACTTAAATAAAGTTAACTTATTATTACGAAACTTGGACCAAATATAGTAATAAGTTCTTCAGGATATATATAGTTTTACGAACCCGAATCTTAACAAGCGATCTGTGGTTAGTATGAACTGTTGCAAAAATTTGGAAGTTGTTTTTTAAACTTTCAAAGGGATTTTCATAATTTACGTTTTTCGAATCAATTTCAACGTCTTTTAATTTCATAGTTAAAAGTTTGGCAATATTGACGTGTTTTTCAATCATTTTATTATAACAACCGATTAATAATTGTTTAATAATTTGACAAGAAAAAAATTGTTTAATTTCTTTTTTGTTTTTTGGAACGAAAATCTCTAATTTCCCTGGTTTCGGTTAAATTATTTTCTTGGATCTATTATGTTTTACATGTAGGAATTCCTTTTTTGAAGGACTCTATATTATCAATCTGCATCTGAATGTTGTGCTGTTTAAGCTTTTTAAAAGTACTTTTTAGATTTAAAAATACTTTCAAGTTTTCGGAAAATATAATATGGTCCACGTAAAAGAAGATGTTTGTCATTTTAGTTAAACTTCAGTGTCCTTGAGAACGTTGAGGGAGTGTTTTTCAGACTAAATGGCATTCTGAAGCGTAGTGGCCATTTTCAGTCTGAAAAGCTGAATCTGGATATATCTCGACCATTGGGGTGGGAGGTGGGTGGCCGAGCAGACTAACGCGTGTGAACAGCATCGCGTTACCCGGCAACATTCATAAACAGAAACTAAGATAAAATAATTACGAGTTCGCGTCCCGGTGCCAGAGGGGCTTTTAACTCTTTATAAAATAATTAAACTAATTGAAAATATGACATGGAACATGAAAACCACAAATATTATATATAATAATTTTTTTTCATTGTGTATATATACGTCACAAACTATTATAATTGTGTATATACGGAATAGTTAGTTGGGGTGTGTGGTCAATAACCATGGTTGTCTATCCATAGACTATCTTGTGGCAATACTTATTTACAGTATACGTTTCGACCTACACCGAAGGTTTATAGTATAGTAGTATAGGAATAAACTTTATACCAGGATTTCGACCTATAACGCAGGAAGACTCGAGGGCACACATATAAATATTTGTTATTTTTATAAATGATTAAAAATTCGATTTTCTTATTTCTGGCTTCTTGATTATACATCCAGAGACCCATGTGCTATATTTATTTTTATTCATTTGTGTAATATGTTTTTATCAATAATGAAAGGTTAGATATATAAAAAAATAATATTAATCCAACTAACATACACAATAAATAAAATTTAAAAAATATTTGCAATAAACTTTGCAAAACAATTTTTTAAGTTACTTTGAATTTACCGTCGAAATTTATTACGACTCGTGCTCGTGTACTAAAGGAGTCATTGGACTGAACGGTTAAGGACGTCAGTTGAATATTAAAAAAAAATTAAAATATGTTTCAATTTCTTTTTTATAATAATGAAATGTTAGATATCAAAAAATAAATCAACTAAAATATACAAAATATTTCCTATAAATTAAGCAAAAATTTGTTTAAAATATAGATAGATTGATCACACCATTATTAACTATTTTATTAATTATTAATAAAAATAAATAATATTTTATGGATAAATCAACATTTATCTCTTAATTAAAGAAACTTAAATCCCACATAATTCTTTTCAATGAATGTAACTTAGTAATTATAAAAGTTAACTTAGTTATTATAAAATTTAATTGAGCACATATAATGTTGAAACAATAAATATAAACTATTTAATGGCAACTTACTCCGGTTAAGCCTATAGGCAATATGGGAAGTTGGCACTCCTCCACAATATTGATTTGTTTTCCAGCCCCATGGTAGAATGAAGGTTGCAATTCAGATCAAAGTTTAGTGTCAATCTGTTACGCTTTTTGAAATATAAGTTAACTTGGCAGTAAGTACATAATTTTGTTTTTCAACTTGAATGTTGTAATTAAATAAATAAACAAACGGAGACTAATTTTAAATCAGAGAAATGTTAAATCACATTTTTAATCACTCATAGTTGATTTTATTTTTGTAATTTTAGCGCTTAGAAAAAAAAAAAAAAAAAAAACAGTACGATTGTGACTATTCTTCACCGATTACTTAATCTATTTATAAAAATATCAATGCGTAAAACATTCTTATCAATTTAAGTTCTTTGAGAAGGCCATTTCTAATTTGTTTTTATAAAACCATGGAAACATCCGACACACACTATGCTTGTTTTCTTCAAGAGGTTTTTAACCCATCTTATGTAACAGGAACATTAATACCAGATGTTGGTATTTTCGATTTAGTTCATCTGATTTTGAACACTTAAAAAAATAAATGGTGTATATATAAATATATAAATAAATATATATATTTATATATAATACTAATGTACATATGAAATTCTCAATAATAAACATTAATTGTCTTTCATGTAAAATCGCCAAAAAGAAAATTCACACAATCCATAGCAAATCAACTGTAAATAAACTGGTATAATTTAATTATTTTATTTTTTATAACTACCTTATTGATTGTATCTACATTATTAAAAAAAATAAACATTAAAATATGTGCTAATACAGCACATAAGGCTGTGAATGTATAATTAACTACCCCGAAATAAGAAAATTAATTTTTTAATCATTTATAAAAAATAAATAGTTATAGTATATTATGATTATATTTGTTTCAGCAAATCTGATTAAAAAACTTGATATGTTTTTTTATTCTTGGTAGAATTTCGATAAACTCGAACAAATACTTGGAAAGTATTAAATTTTCGTATTTTGAAGAAATAGTGGTTGGTCTTTTGGTTATTATAATTCCAATCGGATAATCATTATAATACATATATGTATATATATATATATTTTTTTTTTTTTTGCCACTATTGCCTTTAAAGGATTTGTCAACTCATTGAGGAAATACTGTTAAACAATAATTATGTAATTATAGTTTTGTTACCATTCCTACTTCTTACCAGGTTTTCAATCCAATATATTTGTCAGGTATCATCTTCATACAAATTGGCTCTATAGCTCTTTAGCCTTAGAGCTAGGGTCTGATACATTTCTAGGAGAAGGTTTCAGTGCGAATGACGAAAAGTGAATGTTATTCTAAGAATAAAAAATCATGTCATTCCAAAGCTGCTGGTTTTAAGAAATGGCCAATCAATTAAGTAGCAAAATGGGAATTATGTTGCAAAAATGTGAGACACCTTTTTTAAAAAAATTTTATCCGTGTAAAAAACAAAAAGTGGGCTAATATGGGAGAACTTTTTAGGCCTTGGCTTCATAGCTACTGAGGTTGTTTGTTTGTTACTCTTTGTACTACACCACTTCCTGAATATTTCATAAAAATTTTATCAATTTATTTTAAAGACTTTAATGGAATTAAAAGACCTGATTTAACATTGTCAATAAGAAGCTTTTAATAATATGCTATTTACTTTTAAACCCAATTTCTCCTTATTATCTTACACTTAAAAGCCATGTTAACATTATTGAGATGAGGTAGGCATCTTGAAATAACAAGTAATTACCTACTTCATGCAAGGGTATTGAACTTTGGAAATCGTATGACAACGAATGTCGGTATACCGGCATGGAATGTTGTTTTCAGGATCTTATATCTTGACGAAATAAAAACTAAATATAATTTTTAAACTACCTAGTACACTCTGTTGTCACTAACACTTAAAAATAATTAAAGTTTTGATCATGATAAACTGTTTAAAATTCGCCGACTTTAAACAAATGGGCATTCCCTTATGTAAATTTAATAAGTAGACATAGCAGGTCTATAATAGTTGTGGTTTTCATGTCCCGATTCATAGATACAAATTGTTCATTTATTTTATAGATATTATCCAGGAATGAAAAATATTGTAAATCGTTTATTTATATTTAACCTTTTGTTTATATATTTAACTTATTCATCCACATATATATGATTATGTATCAATATGAAAAATTGATGTAAAATATAATATTTTTATCCTTAAAAATTTCAGATAGATACTACTGTTCCCAAAACCATTTGAACAACTGCGTGTGAAATCACTGTAAAAAAATCCAGTACTTTCTACCGAATAAAATGTATTTCAGCACTCGTAAATCAGGCGCAACGTCTTACAATTTGAGCATCTGTGAGGATGCCAACGAAGCACATTCAACAAGTGAGCCACCCGATAGTTCCGATCTGGTCCCCTACACTTATGAAAGAAACGAAAGCATAAATTTTCCTAATAGTCTCAGTTCCTCGGGAAATGAAAGTAGGATGCGGCAATTAATTAAGGAATTAAGCTCAAGTACCACTGAACTGACTAAGAAAACTGGTTTCATTAAGAAAGAGGAAAAAGAAATTGCTAACAGGTTACGTAGTATCATTGAAGAAGTTGAATCAATAGCCTCCGTTTCAGGTAAAGACGACAATACTGTATTACCAATGAAGTCTGTTGGTGTTTCCAATGATAGCAGTCCAGATCACACTTATAATGGCGATCTAGATCTAACAAGTGGAATAGAATCTATAATCGCCGCTGCAATAAAGGATAGGGACGAGATCAGTGACACAATTTCATTGAATGCAAACACATCGAATGTAACGGACTCTGTGTTTGATTCGATCGATAAACATGACTTTGATTTACCTAATAAATTGTACAACTTCATCGCAGAAGCTACGGAAGAAATGGATAATGAAGGAATGTGTTTCATCACAAGTTATGAGAGAGAGAGCCAGCACAGCGAGTTGTCTAATTTGGTAGCAGAGGCCATTGAGAAACTAGAACTAGAAGTAGCTAGAACCGGCAATGCTCTCAATAAAAACCGATTCGACGAAACTGACAATTACTCTAGTATAGTTGCTTTAGACATGGGGTCTACGAGTGTATATCTCTCTTCCAGTGACGTCACTCGTCGCGATAACGCAGAAAAAGGTAACTATACAGAGAATATTCCAAATAATTATATGTTTGACATTTTTTTATCAATGAAATACTTGTACTTAACGCTTTAGATCGGAAACTAGTAAGAAGGTGACTGCATTCCACTTCCGCCGCTTATAATCAACTAAAGCTATAATAACTTTACAAAGTATCAGATCATTGCCCTATCCACTGTCCGAAATGAAGCATTTATTACCGAAACGTTTATTTAAGATGAAACGATTTCCAAACTAACGGTCCGGGGTCAGCGGATACGCGGGGAGCGCGGATCGAGACAATGCTTTAAAAATTCCAAATCCTACGATTCGTCGCTGTTATAATTCATTTATGATTGTAAGATGTTTAAATATGACAATTTAAACAAATAAATAATTATTAAGAACCATTAAAAACAAAAAATAAAATAACATCCTAAGAATTGTTTTTATGAAATTATAATTTAAAAACAAAAGCAATGTTTTTTCATGAACATTTTTATATCTCCCCTGTAACTTTAAAGGACGTTTTTTTATCTTGAACAATATTTAAAATATTTCCAATTTAAATTTTTATATTTTATGTTTAAGTAATAAGATTTAAAATTTATTTATAACTGTAAGTGCGCAAATGAAGCCAAAAATCCATATTTTTAAACTTCCCTTGGCTTTATCTCCAAAATTATAGGCGGTACTACTTCACTAGCAGGCCGGTTCGAAACCTCACTTCTCTCAACCAAATCTTCCAGTCATAACAAGTCCATCGCGTCTTTCTCCGATAGGTCCTACCAAGCTTACTCTACAGCATTCTATTCTTCTTCTTCCACCACTGAAGGTCTTCCTCTTCTTCTTCTATCCTCAGCCTCGCAAATCATCATCAGCCTTAATATTCTTTTGTCATCCCCCCATCTCATAGTCATACCACCTGAGTCTTCCATCATTCCTAGGACACTGACTTACTTCCATTTCCCCCTCATAACGCTGTTTTGGACACTTTTGATCGTCTATATCTTTGTTCTCCACCAAAAATTCATATCAACAAATAGAATTTGTTTAATTTGGGTCAAGCTTTGCACTTGATTCCAATGCGGTATATACCAGTTTATTGTTTTTAATAAAATATTGCTGCTACGGTTTAGGAAATTAAGAATTCTCACACTTTTTTTGCCCATTTGGCTCACCTTTCCTAATGATGGGTCGATGCTCTCTGTGCGAATGTATTTAGTTCTGTTGTAATGGATGTTAAAACTTCCTTGTTTGTATTAGTGAACACCTACCCAGCAACAAATGGTAAATGACAAACGTTGTTGTTCCTTTAAATAGATCTCACTTTATCATCCAATCTTTTAGGAATTTCTCAATGTATATTTTAAATAGAGTGAGGGGCATGCAGCATTATATTAGTATCACTTTTCTGTTTTGTAATCCTCTCTATAATAATGAACCTATTTTTATCTGCACCAGTTATTCTTTAATAAAGGTCAGGATATCACTGTCAATATCATCCTTCCTTATGGTTTCCCAAAACAGTTTTGGAACACTATCATATGCTTTTTCAAGATTGAAAAAATCAAACCTATCCTTTTCGCTTTAGCTTTTTGTTTTTCTAAAAATTGTCTTAGCAAATTATTGTGATCGATACGACAGTCAATCTACATCGCTCCTTAGCTGGAACACACTGCTTTTCTAATTGTGTTTTTACTCTTCTTCCTAATAGTTTCGTGTATGAACTTATCAAGCAAATAACTCAATAATGTTCACACTGTTCCCAATCACCTTCCCAACTAGCAGAACTTCATTTATTGTGCTAAGCTTTCTTCTCTAAGGACTTAATTAAAAGTCTGTGGACATTTTAGTCACCATAATAGCTCCGCCCACACTTCTCTCAGGCCTGATTACTTCCTATCCCTCTTCCTTTTCAACTTACTCCTGAGAGACAAATAAGGATGTATCGTTGTACAGTTCCTTCATAACTTCATTTCTTGTTTCGTTTTAGAAACATCTCATAATAACTAACCTAGTTCATAATAACTAACCTAGTTTATTATAACGTTGTTTTCTCTTTCTATTCCTTCCTCAGTCTGAACATGCCTCAGCCGCATGTCTAAGTACTAACCTACTATCAATCCTTGAACCATCTGTCCTTTCCTAATCTCATGTTCTGAACAAGTTTTCTTCTCTTTTCTCTTTAAAATTCCATGCCACCACATTTTTATGTACTGAACCTTCTGAGATATGGTTGCTTTTCAATCTGTAGATTCCGTTTTTTATGTCCTCTGTTACCATTCTGTTTTTTCATATTTTTCTTTGGTTCAAAGAAATTTAAAGCCCATTTTTTTTAATGAGCAGTCACCAAGCCGTAAATGTTTTAGGTGCTATATTCGATGAAATCTTTTAACGATTCCTTTATCGTTTGTTGAAACAAATTTCCAATACCTTCGTCCTGTAATGGCTCCAACTTAAGGACATTTTATTCTTTACTTTTCCATCTCTTTCTTGTTGCTGATCTGATTTAGTATTATTAATATATGGGAAGGAACATACAGATAGTACATAATAGTTTGCTAATAAAATAATTAACTGATTTAGTGGACGAATATTTGTATCATTATATTTAGGTTCTTCCATTGTTCTAGATTCTGATGGGAGAAAAAAGTTCGTTTGCCACCATTGTTATTCTAAGTGGAGTAATTACTACATGGTTAAGTCACACATAGTATGGAACCACATTCCAGAGATAGAAAAGAAACCAGTGTACAGAATAGGACCAAATCAGACAAATGCAAACACGCTTAACCGGATCTTCGACAAATTTTACAAATTGAAGAGTAAAAAACAGCGCTTCACTCCATTCAAATTTCGTATAATGTTTAAAAAACGAAAAATAAAATATTACAAGTGTAGACAATGTGAATTCAAAACACCTAAGGAATATGATATGAGAAAACATAAATCTGAAGCACATAATAAATTAAAGCACCAATGTTTTTACTGTAATTACTGCAGCACAGTTCAGTCCTGCCTACTGAGACACGTCATGGCTAGGCATACCAAAGAAAAACCCTTTAAGTGCACTTCGTGTGACTATAGTGCTACACAGCACGTAACATTACAAGAACACATAATGGCAAAGCATACCTACGAAAAACCACATCAGTGCCCATACTGTGACTATGCCAGCGTTCAGAGAAGCATTTTAAAGGATCACATAAAAGCTAAACACACTCATGAAAAAAATCGTCAATGTTCTAAATGCAGCTTTGCATCAGTTTCATATTCAACATTAAAACGGCATATAATGGCGAAGCATACGAATGAGAAACCATACAAGTGTGAACACTGCAATTATTCCGCCACGCAGTCAGGTCAACTGAGGAAGCATGTCATGGCAATCCACACAAATGAAAAGCCTTTCCACTGCTCACTTTGTCCTTTTAAAGCGACACAATCGCATTCACTAAAAATACATGAAAGGAGAAAGCATTCCAGGGACGGTTTGTTAGTGTAGATTCTATAGTCTCAGTAGAATATCGAAAATAAATAACTCTTAATTGTTTCAATTAAGGAAACTGCGGTCGTAAAATAGTTTTGGTAGTAGAATTCAAGATCTTAAAATTGGGTTTTATGACTATTTTTTTTTCTGAATACAGCTTTTCGATTAGAGAATTCATTGATATAACATGAATCTTGTAGATAAAAAAATAAAGTTATTTGTAATTCGTGAACAGTCATTTTCAGACACATGGTTATAAAAAAAAATTGTATCTTTTAAATCAAAAGGTCATAGACTAATCTGAGGCCTTACCAATTACAGTTACTTGCAAATGAATAATGGTCTAACAGACCAAAATATTTTCTTGGCTTTATGGCTGGAGGAATTAGTCAGTTATACCAGTTAATATTTTTTTAACCTCAAAATGTGACTCCTGAGATTTTCCTGACAGAATCCATCATTCCTTCTATACTAATGATTATGCAAGTCTATCTACATGCTGGATACTTGCTTAATGTATAATTATTTATAAAAATCTACAGATGAATCTTTAGTGACTTTTTAAATTTCTATTTCCTTTTTAGAACCCTTCCCCTAAAAAAAATGCTGCTCCATTTTCAATATAAAAGATTTCTCAGATCGTGAATTCTACTACCTAAAATGTTATAATACAATTTTATTAATAAAATTTTGTTATTTATTTGCTCATTTTCTATAGTTATTTATACTAGTCCGTGCTCATAAGAACATATTAGAATTACTAAAAAGCAATTGACTATCATTAAAATGTGTGTGTACCCAACAGTTGAATATATATTAAGTGATTTTATATTTTATTATAACTTGAATCAAAAAATGACTACATAATAAAAATAATAATTTACTAATGACAAGAGTTAAAAAAATGAGAAAGTATAAGGAACTTGCTTTGGAGCTAAAAATGCTGCATCATTTGGATGAAGTAAGTGAACCTATAATTATTTCTTCAAAGAGTCTCATATTGAAAAGCATAAGAGAGGAAATATAAGACCTAGTTCTTCATCTACAGAGCTTAAAAGTAGCTCATGTAGCAGTCCTACTGGATATTTGCAGCATTGGAAAACATTTTCTAAGCAAACGAAATCTACATTGTTGAAGAATAAAAAAAAAAAAAATTTAAACTATGCGTATTAATACAGCAATAATTGGTAATATAAGAGCACAACTTTAAATGTTACACTTTTTTATTTTTAATACTCAATACTTCTAGAACTGATTATAATCAAAAGTTTAGTAATTAGAACTATTTAATAATACAATTAAAAGAAAGAAAAAACTATATATTACTAACCGATAGCAAGTTATTGGTAAAGTATAAACAAAAACTTACTATAATATAATATATAATATTATCTATATAACTCTTAAGGTTTCTTGTAATCAAGGTACCCTCATATGTTCTATCTAAATCTTTTACAAAATGTATCATCAGTTCATTTATGACATTACAAGTAAATTTTTTTTTTTAAATAGTTTATGCAAATATTTGTGATATTTATAATTCAAGTATTAGTTTTAATAACAATGAGTAGTTTAAACGAACACCCAAAAAGCTCAAAAAAAAAAGTATTCTAATCAAATTATAGCAAAGGGAATTCTACTGCGCTGGTATAAGACCATGATAATGAGTCATACATAACATTATTTAGATCATTTTAACAATATTAATATTTTTGGTTTTGAATAAGCTACTTGAAGTAAATAACTCGCTTTTCAGTTACAATTCTGGCATTAATTATAGATTAAGATAAATAAATCCAAAATTAAATCTGTGGTTTCATATTTCTACAAATCACCAGAAGGTGTATGACGATCAACCTTTAACCACATCACAACATTGATTTTGGATTTCTTGAGTGTACCTCTACTTAATTTTTAAAAAAGTTAAGTCCTATCATTCTTAAGAGGATGAATGGATCCCGTTTCAGACAACCCCTTCAGGCACAATGTCCGGAAGTACTAGGAATCAAACTGTTACAACTAAGGATAAAGCAATTCATCTAGTTTTCAGAAATTAAACTAATGGCTCCTCCTACTGAAGTTTCATATCCAGTCTCATTTGTATTTCCAGGTAATAGACAAAAGAAATACATAACGCAGTTATCAAAGAATAAAATCAATATTATTATCTTATTAACAAAAAAAAAACTGATCTTTTTTTCATTTTAGACAAGCACACAATAACATCATCAAGAAGTGTTTGTAGGTGTATATATACATTCTGGAAAGATACAATTGGATCAGGCTCTATAAGTGGGTCCTTCACATTGCTGTGATGGAGAGGTTTCATAATGAAGAAAAGATATACCATAAGATGGGGTAACTTTGGGACAGTGGATATCATTTAGTTTCAAGTGATTCCATGGTGGATACACTGCATTGGTTCAGTCTGCAAAAACGTGTTTTGTTAAGACATGTACTGCACTACTTTCTTATGGCACACTACTCTTGAGGCAAAAACAAAAGTTTCATGAAAACAAGAATTTTGAAAAAAAAAGCAATGGAAATAAATAAAATCTAACTGCACAATAAGTGTAGTGAACTAGGATTCTCAAATTGCAGCGAGGTAGGTAATAGCGCAGTACATGCATACACAAAGTGTGTTTTAGCAGACTGAACCAACTCAGTGTATCTCCTACAGATTCACCAGGAACTAAATTATACCCACTGTCCCAAAGTTGCAAACCCAGTCGCAAAGTACCCCATCTTACGGTATAAATAATGGCTACAACATTATATTTAAGAAAAATATACTGGCTCTGAAATTGTAACTAAACAATGAAAAAAATATACAAACAAACAAGATATATCACGTTTGTTGAAGAATAATGGAATTGGAAGGTTGTAATGGATAATATATTGTGATGTTTTATTTATGAATATATATATTTTAGTTGATTGACAATCTATTGTTGTATTATGCATGGTTATTTAAATTATTACGTTAAATTTTAGAATGTTTAATAACATTATTCTAACAAGATCAAATATAACAAATTTTTTAAGAATTTTTTTTTTCCTCACCAAATGGAAGACAAAAAGTAAGCTGCTCTATTTATTTCTCCATAGAATCATGGATTGTTAATACTAGCTTATAACTATATTTATAACAATCATATAAATAAAATAGAATTTCCTTACATGATTAAATTAATTTTTACTTTTTATTGTTTAACATTGGTGCAAAACTATCACATGAAGCTATGATTGTACAATTATTTTTTTTGCCACATTGCAACAATCAATTGCTTTTGAATTATTTTTCCTTAAAAAGAAATACAAGAAATATGTTATCAGAAACTATATGGGCTGTCAGATAGTTCTGCTGGCTTTGAGTTTCACACCAGCCATTTCTTCATATTTCAAACAAAGGCAGTAAAAAAGTTCAAAAAAATACATCGGAACATTCATCAGACCATTATTGATAAGTACTGTGACAGCTGTTAGTGCTCCAGCCACATCTTCTTCCTCAAAATTAAAATCATCCCTAAGCCATACTTTTATCCAAGCTGATCTTAATTGAGGATACGAAGGCGCCGCATTGACCATTAGTTTCGAAAGCTCCATATCTCCTCTAATCAAAGCATAGAAAAATCCTAATACAACTAACATAGGTGTACTGAACTCCGGATAGGGATCTCTATATACATTGTACTGAGCTGCAAACTGGACAGCTTCAAATAGTTTTGTTGACATCTTCTCATCTCCTCCACAGAGAACCGATATCCTCTTTCTTAATACATTAAGATGTAATGAATTCATTTTTTAAATCTGTAACAAATTCCCTTTATTAAAAACAATGAAACAAATAATTAAAATCAACCTAGAAATAAATAAAAAAATACAATGATTTTTTAATTTCACATTTCCCTATGATGTATCCATGAAAAGTTGCTTCTTGTTTTTAAGGTTTTTCTAAAAGACAAATAACATAGTTTTTAAGTACATTGCTACCTAACAAAAACATATTGGCCATGAAATGATGATCAGCAAAATTAAGAAAATGGCCTATTTTTTCCTTATGTTCAAAAATAGAAAATTGATAACAAGACAAAATGTACTACATTTGCTTTTAAAGTACTGAAAAATTACAGAACATGTGTAATAAGCTAGAGAATTTGAAGAAAATCTGAAAAAAAAAATTAGTTGAGTAGGAGACCCAAATGTAAATGAATTGGCGGGGAAAGATCAAACACCAGAGAAAACACGACCAAGACAGCAAATTTTGAGCAATAGTTTAATTTTTAGGTCAGGTAAAAAGGTTTTTCAATATTTATTTTGAAATATTCTAACTTGACCACTAACTGATGTCTGAGTAGTGGAAGAGTGGGAGAATGGAAACGGTCTATAATTTACTAAAATACTCCTATAAAATTGTTCATTTGTTATATAGATGAGTGAATAAAGGAGTGGCAAAACTAAGTTTGCTCCTATGAAATTAATCTCAATTACATCCTATTCCACGACCATTTTCAGACACAGTTTAGGACATCTAGCGAGGAGTCAGTTCATAAAATATCATTGCATTTGAAATATATTTGTGAATCCATGACGAGACTGAGAATGTTTGAGGGGTAGCCTTTCTGCACTATGATATACATCCCACATCCTGGAAGATTATGCCAACTGGCCAAAACGGAAAAGATTTCATTTTAGATACAAGAAAACATTTGGTTGCGTATTGCAAATGTTGTTACTGACTACCTTAATGTGCACCCATTAGTGGCCAGCATGCAGACCCGAATCTCAATCCCACTGAACGAGCTAGAAAGTTATATAAAAACACAGACAAATCTCCTTTTGCATTTTAAAACTAACGACTTTCTCATTAAATTAACCATATACTGGGATAAATATTGGTGGTCGTACAAACAAAGGGAGGTATCACACTATATCAACAAAAGTAATTATTTTTAATACTGAAATATTAAATACAAGAAAATTTTATTATAATTCACAAATTTTGAGTTCTTGTAAATAAACCACAATAAATGTTTTTCTATAGAGATATTTCATAATAAGTTTTCATCTGTACCTCTTGA